TCCACCCACAGATACAATCAATGTGGAAAATATTAACTATGGTCATCATCGTGAGCAAGATAAAGACTGGGGAAGGCAATTTTTCTTGCCTTAAAATTGTCTTGGAGATATCTTTTTAAAATTACTTCCCTGTTGCCTTATTACCTCATCTTTAAAGCATTCTCTGCTTTAGCAAATCATTGTAGAAGGGAGGGAGTGGGAGTGACGATGTTAGTTTTCCATTATGAACACTAACTGGGCCATTTGAACAAGTCTTCTGCTTGGGAAAGATTGCTTTGCCAAGTAGATGGTGCTCAAAGCTGAGAACTGCTAATTTGTATTTGTTCCCTGTAACATTGGGAATATGTTCTACCCTTTACATTCTCTTTTACCACAGACAAGCCCACTAGAATCCTTACCTTGTTGTAAGTCCTCTGACTGACATTGCATAACTGGAACAAGAAATTGGTAGGTGGACTTCCCAAACGAGTTGCCATCCATATTTTTAACTAGAATTTGGCCTGGTTAGAGTTAGTTAGATGGATGCATTTTTGTAGCCTCAGAGGAATTATTTTTATACATGGAAATACAGGTTGAGCACACCTTATCCAAAATTCCAAAATCTAAAATATTCCTAAATTGAATACCTTCTACATGGGTGGCTGAGGTAATGACATCTTTGTTTTTTGATGGTTCAGTGTATACACATTTCATTTCATGCATGACATTATTTAAAATATTGCATATAAAATGAACCTTATGCTATGTATATAAGGAATATATGAAACATAAAGGAATGTTGTATTTAGACTTGGGTCCCATTGCTAAGATATGTCATAATACACATATATGCAAACACAGGTATTCCAAAATTGAAAAAAAAATCCACTCTCAAAACACTTTTGGTCCTAAGCAGTCAACAATTACTGTTAATCATTTTCTCTTATGAAAGTGAAAGACTAGATGCATGTTGAAAGCATAAAATCACCCAGCACAGAACAAAACCTTAATTTCATGAATAAAGATAATACTAAGGGACTAGTCCTCAGAACAATGGACTAGTCCTCAGGCAATGGCAAACCACTCCAGTATCCTTGCCAAGAAAACTAAATGGACCAGTACAACCAGAGATATGTCGGTATGCCATTGGAAGATGGGACTCCCAGGTCGGAAGATGGCCAAAATGCTACTGGGGAGGAGCAGAGGATAAGTTCAACTAGCCCCAGATGTGATGACGCAGCTAGCTCAAAGCCGAAAGGAAGGCTAGCGGCCGACGGTACTGGAGGTGAACGACTAATCCGATGCTCTAAAGATCAACACACCATAGGAACCTGGAATGTAAGATCTATGAGCCAGGGCAAATTGGATGTTGTTATTGGTGAGATGTCAAGACTAAAGATAGACATTCTGGGGGTCAGCGAACTGAAATGGACTGGAATGGGCCACTTCACATCAGATGACCACCAGATCTACTACTGCGGACAAGAGAAACATCGAAGAAATGGAGTAGCCTTCATAATTAATAAGAAATTCGCTAAAGCGGTGCTTGGATACAACCCAAAAAATGACAGAATGATCTCAATTCGAGTGCAAGGAAAGCCTTTCAACATTACAGTGATCCAAATATACGCCCCAACCACAGCTGCTGAAGAAGCAGAAGTAGATCAGTTCTATGAGGATCTTCAGGACCTACTGAATAATACACCAAAAAGAGACATTATTTTCATTACAGGAGACTGGAATGCCAAGGTGGGAAGTCAAATGACAACTGGGATCACAGGCAAGCATGGTCTGGGAGAACAAAATGAAGCGGGACGCAGGCTGATAGAATTTTGCCAGGAAAACTCGCTGTGTATAACGAATACTCTCTTCCAACAACCTAAAAGACGGCTTTACACATGGACCTCACCAGACAGTCAACACCGAAATCAGATTGACTACATCCTTTGCAGCCAAAGGTGGCGGACATCCATCCAGTCGGTGAAAACAAGACCTGGGGCTGACTGTAGCTCAGTTCACGAACTTCTTATTGCCCAATTTAGAATAAAACTAAAGAGATCAGGGAAAATACACAGACCAGTTAGATATGATCTCACTAACATTCCTAGCGAATATACAGTGGAAGTGAAGAACAGATTTGAAGGACTAGATTTAGTAAACAGAGTCCCAGAAGAACTATGGACAGAAGTCCGAGACATTGTTCAGGAGGCGGCAACAAAGTACGTCCCAAAGAAAAAGAAAACCAAGAAGGCAAAATGGTTGTCTGCTGAGACACTGGAAGTAGCCCAAGAAAGTAGGAAAGCAAAAGGAAACAGGGATAAGGGGAGATATGCCCAGTTAAATGCGCAATTCCAGAGGTTAGCCAGAAGAGATAAGGAACTATTTTTAAATAAGCAATGCATGGAAGTGGAAGAAGACAACAGAATAGGAAAGACAAGAGACCTTTTCCAGAAAAAGACAACAGAATAGGAAGGACAGGAGACCTCTTCCAGAAAATTAGAAACATTGGAGGTAAATTTCAGGCAAAAATTGGTATGATAAGAAACAAAGATGGCAGGGACCTAACAGAAGCTGAAGAGATCAAGAGAAGGTGGCGAGACTATACAGAAGATCTGTATAGGAAGGATAATAATATTGAGGATAGTTTGGATGGTGTGGTGAATGAATTAGAACCAGACATCCTGAGGAGTGAGGTTGAATGGGCCTTAAGAAGCATTGCTAACAACAAGGCAGCAGGAGACGACGGGATCCCAGCTGAACTGTTTAAAATCTTAAAAGATGATGCTGTCAAGGTGATGCATGCCATTTGCCAGCAAATATGGAAAACACAAGAATGGCCATCAGACTGGAAAAAATCAACTTATATCCCCATACCAAAAAAGGGAAATGCGAAAGACTGCTCAAACTTCCGTACAGTGGCCCTTATTTCTCATGCCAGTAAGGTAATGCTCAAGATCCTGCAAGGAAGACTCCAGCAATACATGGAGCGAGAGTTGCCAGATGTTCAAGCTGGGTTTAGAAAAGGTAGAGGAACGAGAGACCAAATTGCCAATATCCGCTGGATAATGGAGAAAGGCAGGGGGTTTCAGAAAAACATCTACTTCTGCTTCATTGGCTATTCTAAAGCCTTTGACTGTGTGGATCATAATAAATTGTGGCAAGTTCTTAGTGGGATGGGCATCCCAAGCCACCTTGTCTCTCTCCTGAGGAATCTGTACAAGGACCAAGTAGCAACAGTCAGAACTGACCGTGGAACAACAGAGACTGGTTCAAGATTGGGAAAGGCGTACGGCAAGGCTGCATCCTCTCACCCAACCTCTTGTATGCAGAACACATCATGCGATGTGCGGGGCTTAGTGAATGCAAAGCTGGGGTGAAAATTGCTGGAAGAAACATTAACAACCTCAGATATGCAGATGACACCACTCTGATGGCCGAAAGCGAGGAGGAGCTGAGGAGCCTTCTAATCAAGGTGAAAGAAGAAAGCGCAAAAGCCGGGTTGCAGCTAAACATCAAAAAAGCCAAGATTATGGCAACAAGAATGATTGACAACTGGAAAATAGAGGGAGAAAACGTGGAGGCCATGACAGACTTTGTATTTCTAGGTGCAAAGATTACTGCAGATGCAGACTGTAGCCAGGAAATCAGAAGACGCTTACTTCTTGGGAGGAGAGCAATGTCCAATCTCGATAAAATAGTAAAGAGTAGAGACATCAGACTGGCAACAAAGATCCGCCTAGTCCAAGCCATGGTATTCCCTGTAGTAACCTACGGATGTGAGAGCTGGACCTTAGGGAAGGCTGAGCGAAGGAAGATCGATGCTTTTGAGCTGTGGTGTTGGAGGAAAGTTCTGAGAGTGCCTTGGACTGCGAGAAGATCCAACCAGTCCATCCTCCAGGGAATAAAGCCCGACTGCTCACTGGAGGGAAAGATACTAGAGACAAAGTTGAAGTACTTTGGCCACATCATGAGGAGACAGGAAAGCCTAGAGAAGACAATTATGCTGGGGAAAGTGGAAGGCAAAAGGAAGAGGGGCCGACCAAGGGCAAGATGGATGGATGGCATCCTTGAAGTGACTGGACTGACCTTGAGGGAGCTGGGGGTGGTAACGGCCGACAGGGAACTCTGGCGTGGGCTGGTCCATGAGGTCACGAAGAGTCGGAGACGACTGAACGAATGAACAACAAGTCCTCAGAACTGGGCAAGGAAGCTGTGGGGCTCTTTGGTACTAAGGACTATCTTCTGTATGAGTTAAAAGGAAAGTCCATAACCAGCGGTGTCCCCATGGGAGTGGAAGAAAGCTCTACCAGAGCCTTTATTCCACACTCACCAACAACTCCAAAAATAGAGTATGTGGGAGGGGAAGGCATCTCTGGAGCCACAGGAGCAAAGTTTCACCATTCCCCTGACATATCATCACTAGAAGACTTTAAACTGTACAAGTTGACATAGCTAAATCCACACATACATCATACCTGGGGGGGGGGGCTTGAGAGGGCTTCCGGGCAGGGACTTCTGGGGGATGAGACTTCTGGGGCCTTGGCTCATAAAGGTGCACCTGGCTGAACCAACAGTGGGTGCATGCCAGGTGGGGGAGGGATGGTTGTAAAGGAAAACTGCTGCCTCAACTTTTCCCCCCAACCCAGAAAGCCCTTTTTTCCAAAATATAACTTCTGCTATAAGTGATTTCTTATCTGAAATCTCAAAAAGGAAGGGGACCATCAACTTATAATTCTATTGCTGCCATTTTCAAAGCACACTACATTTCTAAGGAATTCTAGGAATTTCAATGAAGAATATAAGGAAATTGAGCAGTAGACAATTAGCTTAAATAAAGCTCTAGCCAATATAGTTAGAGCTGTTGTGTGTTTTCATCTGATTTCAAATAATTTTTTAACTTTCTCTGCTTATGAAAACACCAGCCAATTTTCAAAAAGCAGCAACATTGCTGTTTACACAGCATGGGGGTGGGGGGAGGAGGAGGTTGCTTCAAGCCCCATTTAACTTTCATATGTTTTCAATATCTGTTTATTGAGGATTGATGAAAAACAGTCAATCTGAAAACATTTGCAGCAACCATTTCATGGCTACTCAAGCTTACATTCACATTACATCATAGTTCAGAAAGCTCAGCACAGTATGCTGTTTTAACAAAGCTAGTCATTTTGATTTGGTACATTTAGGTTTACAAAAATATTTTTTACACTTAGAAAATAAATCAAATTTTAATAAATTACAATATATGTATTATTTAACAAAGAATAGTAATTTATAAAACAGGCAACAATATTAAGAGTTCAAACAAAAAGACAACAGTTTCAGTTCGACTTGCAGTTTCTCAAGTCGCTCCTGACACGACAAAAAAAAAAGTTCTGATATCTGAACATTTTGGCAGTTTACAAACTCATTCTCTTGTAAATAAAGAATGTGCTACAGTAAGCGCCAGTCCCTCTGTTCTTCCAGATTCTTGCTGCACTGCTCGTGTAACACCATAAGTTAAACAAAACCAGGCTTTAAACATCTACAGGTCAGTTCTTTTCTTTCTCCATTACTACAACCCTGTAATGTCCTGGAGTTGAAGCAACAAATAAAAGAAAACCCATGTAGCAGAATCTTGGGAATGCGCCATATGAATAACTTGGTCCGCAAAGGCCTGGAATTAGCCCAATCAACACTTGTGTCCTTCCCATTCACAAAAGTGGTGATCTTAAAGGGGCATTTGCCTAATTCAGTACATAGCATCCCAAATACTGTTCACTAGTTTCCAGATGGCTCATAGCTGATGGTCAGACGATGGAGAATAAAAATGGATAAGTTGTATCATATAATGCTTGTACATGGATCTCTTGGTGGAGCAACTTGGCTTATGATAGGTTTTAACACATCCATAGCTGTTAGTGGTGCTCCTTTTAAACCCCCCCCCCCCCCCGGCATTTAAATTACATCAGAGTTGCTGCTCAGAGGGTGAAATCTAGCCACAGCTCATTTCCATAATAGGACAACATTGCTGTAGATACTTCCCATGCCACAGAGTCATTTCCATGAGATCCAGGAGCTCTGACATTACATGTGAAAGAATTGTATACCACACAGTATAACAATGAGTAATCAATGTAACACTTATGGATAGAAAAGAAGGTTTTTCCCTCATTTTATTTTTCCAAGGGGAAAATTGTGGTGATAGGATGGAAATAGGTTTTGCTTGTTCATTGAATTAAAAAAAAAACCTAAGCTTGCTTTAAATATATCTTGAAATTAACACAAAAATATGAAGAACTGTGTTAGAACAGATAAAAGAGCTATCTAGTTTGGAATTTTATTGATTAAATAATTGAGCTAGTGAAGTGGTTGGAGTTTTGGACAAAGAATCTGGGTAATCATGGTGTGAATCCCTACTTGGCTAGGTATGTCCTTGGTCAAATTATAACCTCTCACCTTCAGAAGAAGGCAATGACAGTTTCCCTGTCATAGTTTCCAAGACCCCCTGTGATGGACATGCAGCAGCAGGAACACAACATGGACTTTCATGGTCCCAAACTGCACTGGGTCCTTGCATGAACAGACTACATACATTCAACCTCAACATATGGAGGGCAACAGAGACCAGGACTGAGGATGGACAGAGCTAGAATGCTCACTTGTACTCTCCATGTTTTCATGATCATTATATCCACAATACGAATGCCTAAATAATGCTGGCACCAATGCTCCATCATGAGCATTGCTAAAATATAGTGTTGGATGCAAGAGAAGTACTGCAATGTATTTACAATGCAACATCTTCATTAAAAAAAATATAAAATACTCATTCAAAAAGAAAAACTATCAGAAAAGAAACCGGGTTTTTTTTTAAAGAAATCTTCAAATGTCTAATTTTCTCAGTGCAGGCCTAAGGAAATGCAGGGAGGAGAGCAGCTAATGGTGTTGAATTCACTGACAGATTCTGGATTTTAGTACAGAGTTTAATGAATCTATTCATGATATTACACATATTTTGTTTAGGAATGTAGAGAATTTGGGAATGTGGAACATTCCTTTAAAATTCAGTTGAAAAGCCAGAACAAATTCATAATCCACTAGCATGGTACTGACCAGCAGTCATTGGGGTAGCAGGGTTTCTTGGTTTTGGTAGCATTCTTATATTATTGTTGTATTAAATTATTCAAAGTTTAAATAATTTTCTCATTAAAACAAGGCATCTAACAAGAAAATAACCGTACATTAAAATCATAAAATATTTTGCTATTTAAGCGTACAGACATACATGTATTTTTGAAACTAGTCTCACAGCAAATTCACTGACTTAAAAATAAATTGCACTGAAATGAGTGTGACTTCTTTTACACAACTTGCAGTCTTATGTATACTTCCTTGGTTGTGGGCTCCATTCAGTTCAGTGGGCCTTATTTCTGATTAAACATGTGCAGCGTTTCATCACATATGCACGCGCATACATATCATTTATAGATGCTTTCAGGAAGCATTTTGGCTTTCAACCTGTACTGTATACTCAAGAAAATGAGACGCCTACCTTGATTAACTGTTAAAACCACTCACTTTGCTGTTTCATTATTTCTACATTTCATATTTCAATTTCATTAAAATCAGACTTTGCATTCAGCAAAGGAATATTACTTAAGATTTCTTAAGATGACAAATGGTATACAGAGACAATAAATTAAACCTCCTCAATTATGATTCAAAGGCAATGCAAATATGGAACAGTTTTAATCCATTTATCTCTTAGAAACCAAAAATTCTGTTTGAATTCAGGGTTTTTAAAAAAATGTCAGCAAAAATTATCTCTCTCATGCTCCACATAGATTTTTTTTTAAAAAAAAACTTCTCCAAAGAGAACAGTGCTTGTCTTGTTTAATAATGGGTCGACGTTCTGCATCCTGAGTTTTCCAGTGTCATAATGCTTTAACATAGTGATAGTACTACAAAAATATTGATCAGTATCATAATGGCTTTTGTTTCGGAAGAGATGGCTGGGAAATAACCGTAACTTGGTTTGTAGATATCTTGTATTCTTGACCAGAGCCTTGTGGAGGAGAAGGAAGTGGAGTTTCAGGAGTTGCTGGAAAAGAATTTGAAATAAATTAACCAATAATCTAATCAAGCTTGTGCCAGAAGCAGAGAGTCGGGGCAGATGCAGTCGCAATAACCAGGCCTTGGCTTAGAGAAGAAGTAGAATTTATACATGTCTGTAACTTTTATTGGTTACTACACACAGTACTAAAATTAGTGTCCATCCCAATTCAGGTAGAATCATTGCAATCAATGGATCATGCCTAAATGGTAACTAACTAGCCCCATTCATTTCAATTGGTCTCCTGAATTTGGGACCAACATTGAATTTAGCTCACAGAGTTTATCATGGCATGCAGCAAAAATCTAGTTACTGGGTAGTCTGACAGCTGACCGAAACCCATGCCTCTATCAGAGCTTGGAAACATTTTGTTGTTGCTATTGATGAAGCTTACAGAATCCCCCAATTACGCTGGCTGGAAAATGCTAGGAGTGCTAGCCCTTTTACTCCATGAGTTCTAGTCCTTTAAAAGGGGGAGGAAATGGACAAACTGCAGCATAAAGGTATCAAAAGATCCCACCGTATAACCTACTTTACATAACTGACATGTCAACCTCTATGTTAAAGTTGGCCTCAAGGCAACATGCTAAGACACCATATGGGGATATCGAATGCCTGACCACTGTTTCCAACTCAGGACTTCCAACACCACCAAACTGTTCAGAAATATTGTGAAAGATATGCAGAATAATTCAATCAACATCAAAGAAAATATTTTTGTATCAAAACCAACTCTGCTGTATTGCATCTGACATGGGCTGATCACACATTCAGGCTGATTTCCTTCCCAGCCTTTAAACTGCTGACTAAACTCTACATTTGAGAAGGTTGATAAGCAATAGTACGAAGAGTGGGCATAGAGGCTAACAGTGGTAATATTGCAGGCTCATATTAAGAGCCTAGAATTGACAAAAGCTCTGTCCCAGAAGCCAACTTGCATAGTCAACTTCACTCTAGAGAAAGGGCATGGATGAAGTGGGCAACAGATTGCAAAAGAAAAATAGATTCTCTTTGCCCTCAGTAAGGTTCCATACAAGGCTTCACTAGGGCAGAGTCTGAAATGAGGCAAGCAGGCTAATTCTTTAACATTAACATATTCACCTGCTAGAAAACCTCCACTCACTTTAGTAATACTAAAGGTATCTCCAAGATCATGTCATTTTCTAAAACAAGGACTTGACTGTGCAGTCAAGTTCTCTCATTCCAAATCCAATTTAGAATGAAACCACCAGTTTGTGTCAGCCAATGGGTGCTCATGCCAGCCCCTATACTGCCCAGAGTGAATGCAAAGCTTTGGCTTGTTTGTCAGCAATATGACTGGTGCCATCCATGCCAGGATGCCTCATTAAATGAAAATTAGCTACAAAACTATAATTAAATTAAATTTGCAATAAACTTACAGATCTGTTCCGAATGTACAGGAACAGTCACTGGACTTATAAGCAAAGTTTCTCCAGTGAGTGGATCTTGTGCTAGATGAGGATGTGTTGGATGGAGATTGGAAGCATCATTAGAAACACCTGCAATAAATCCACAGAACATGCATCAGTTCAAATTAATATATTGCTCCAGGAAATTCTGCATTTTCCTAATCAAAATATGCTGTAATGTCGTTGGACTGAAGCACCTCGCTTTTTGATAGAAACAACGATGGAAACAGCTGCACATTAGATGTGATACAAGATTTAGTGGCCAAGACCCAGCATGATCAAATGTAACTATGATGACAGACCTCTGTCAATGTAATACCATCTCCCCAAAATATGGGGTGCTGCTATTTTGAAACTTTAGGTTGAGGGGGAGGCATTTTCAACTAGCATTTTTAAGTTACAGCATTGTAAATCCAGTTTATAAACATGTAAGCATGTTAGCCACTGAATCCAAAAAACACTGCTGTTCAATAGATCTGTATTGTTCAAATAACATAATTCTTAGGAGATAGCTCTAATATCATTATTATCGTACTTTAAAACAGAAGTGGCCAATTGTGGATTAATAGGAGAAGACATCAGCCTCCCAGGAAAGCTTAGTGAGCCACACTCCCAACAAAACAAATTTAAAATATTTTTGCTCCCAACTACATTCTAGATAGTTTGCACTGAGGATCTAGAGGGCATTTTCACCATGTTTTAAATCTTGCATGGGCCATTTTAAAAACCCAAAGTCACTCCCTATTTACTATTTTTAGAAAAGGCCTCTCCTTTTAGAAAAGGGGTGGAGGTGGCAGAGATGTAGCCACCTCTGCCCAGAGCATTAGGAAAACAAAAAAATGAGCCTTCGAAGCTACATGCAACCTGCAAACCACACTTTGCCTAGCCCTGTTTTAAAAGATAATTTCAGATGATTCTGTACATGCCATTAATTTTCTCTCTGTTGTTTCCTCTGGTTTCATTCTCTGTTGTGTGTAAAATGATATGATCTTGTAATAGTTATGGAAAATATAGAAATAGCAATTACTTTTTCTATATAAATATTTTAATTGGCATTTAGAGTACCCTTGAATCATTATTAGTTTCACACACAATAAACAAAACAAATTAAGTATTGTATTATTGCTTTGTTTGATTGATTCTGGATTTTACAGCATGTGCTACCTGCTTGTATGATATTTTATCAACAGATTTGGGTATCACAAATTCATATAATCTCTATTTACAGAGTCCCTGAAAGATGTATTACAAAATATGTTATGTCTAATACATGTATTTCCATGCATCTAGGGGCAGCTCCAGACAAGCAGTTATCCCAGGACCATTCGCATTTTAAAAACTCAGATGTTTCTGGGGGCCTGTCTGCACCCACCAGTCACAGGACTGGCTTGTGAGAACATCTGGAATCCCTACCCCTCTCCTCCAAAGCCCCCAACCCCCTTTTAAAAGTAAAGAAAACTTACCCATCCTCCAGTACAGTTTTGCAGCAACTCTCCCGGCATGTAGAAATGACACCCCAGGAGAGAAGGGAGGAGGGGGGAGGAAAATCACTCCTTCCACCACCATCCCCCCACGCTCTCCTAGTGCATAATTTTTAGGTGCTGGGAGAGCTGCTGCAACACTGTACTGGAGGCTGGGTAAGATTTATTTACTTTTAAAAGGGCTTTGGGGGCTTTGGGAGTGGGGGTCCATATTTCCACAGTTTTCTGGACTAATTTAGTCCAGAAAACTGTGGGAATGGTGTCTCGATTGCAGTCCAGACACCTGAATTAATGGGTTTATCCTGCACCTTCCAAGAAGACATGGAATAAATCCATTATCTAATTAATTCGCTACAAACCAGGGTTTTCCTGGTTTGTGGCAAATTAATTCGGGATTGTTCAGGATGTCATCTGGACAGCACCTTCTTTATTGTGGGAGTTATCACAATAAAGGGACTGTCTGAATGCACCTTAAGTCTAAGGCTGAATGACAATTTCACTTTAATTTTTAGAAGAATTTATCAACATTTTTGCATTTGTTCTTATTGAGAAAAATAAGATTTTTTTTAAAAAAAAAAGTTTCTGAGACAAAGTGAAATTTCTCAATCCCAGTCTGGGGCTTTTGGACACTTAATTCGCAGGTTCCTACAATATTATCTTCTCCAATCTAAGAATAGTTGTTCCAATTGGACTTGGGAGTCAGTCTAGTATAGTAGATTCAGTGTTGGACTAGGTAACTGGGATATCAAGATTGATATATTTGTTCATCCATGGAAACTCACTGGATGACTTTGGGCAAGTAACTTTCTCTCAACTCCATAGGATTGCCATAAGTCAAAAATGACTTGTAGACACAGAACAAAAAAGAGCAATGGATTTGGCCAATGTGAGTAGTGGAAAATTTAATTTCAGTTTGTTTTTGAAGAATTCGCTGGAACTCACAAACTTCAAATTTAGGATGGGAATAAAGTTGTTGTTTTTTTAAAAAAAACAAACCTTTAAATTCTAAGCTTGCCTGTTCACTTCCCTCCCTAACAAGATGTAACTGATAAATATTTCCATCTCTAAATGTCTTTCTTTTTTCCCATACAAGTGGTACCTAGCCATTTGCTTTCCTTGTGACAGAAATGTATTTCCTTCATCTTTCAAAAAATATTTTAAGAAGAAAAAAAGCATTTGGTTCTATTTTTATTAACTTCCGTTTTGTATTATATCCAAACCCAGAAAAGGAAAGGTTATTTTAAATATGGCTTCTTGACACATTTCAACTCCTGGTTTGAAGTTACTCCTTGAAGCAAATTGTATATAAATGTTGAACATATATGATTTGGGCTGTAATCAATCAAAAGTTGAGATGAAAGCTTTGAGCTCCTCTTCATGAGAGTATTGGGCAAAGATAGTCAGGGAGGAAGTTGAACAGACAAGTTTAGGATTTATACTGGCTGATTCCCATCCAGATTCAGCCAATGTGTAACATACATTGCATACTTAAAATAATAAAATTTATATAACAGTTTATAAATTTCTATGAGAGATATGGAAACAGAGCTAGAAAACGTCTACAAACCACTACCTTCTAGGATAGTAAAATGATTTATGCTATAAGCATTGACATCACCATGACCACATTTCCATTTGCATTTTGCATTTCTAGTTCGATCCAAAGGTCTAAATTAGAGAGGATCAATTTGTGGCCTTTCACATGTTTGTGAATACAATTTCCAGAATCAGAGCCAAGAATGAGGATTTATTCTAGCTTGTCGAACAATATCTAGAGAAGTTGACCAGCACTTGTCTAAAAAGAACAACTTAAGAAAAAGCATTTTCTTAATATGTTGTCAAGCTATTGAGCCCTCTAGCTCCCTATCACTGGTTCCAAATACCAGCAGCCCTGTAATACCTTAGACCAATGAAGAAAAGGAGTCACTTGCAAAACCTACTGATACACTCACCTCCTAATAACATCTCCTGAAGCAAGCTGTCAATTTTAACCATTCCAAAGAGTTTAACAAATTGTATTTGCTCAACCATTTGCCAGGTAATACTCTGCAGAGTAGGCAGCAACAAGAGGAGTTCTCCGAAGCGTCCCCTGGAGTCATACTGGCGATCGTTGATATAATCCTCCAAACTAATCTGAACTTGAAACCTCATGTTCCTGATCTTCATTGAATTACTTAGTCCTTTTGCATCTTAAGGGAACATAGAAGGTTCAATTAATTAATTAACTATATTTAATGCATGTTCCTCTTCCTCCCAATAACTTACAGTTTAAATTAAAACAAAATAAGGCTATGTGGTGAACAATTAAGAAGTACAGTACTTAAAATAATTATATAGTGCAATCTATTAAAACAAACACTAATTTAAAACACTTGCACAAAGAGACATAACCATGACAACAACCCGTGAGGCACAGAATTACCCATTCCAAGAGGATGAAGAGAGACAAGAGGCTGAAGCTGAAAATATTAGGTCTCAGAACTTGCCTATGCTCTTAAAGGAATCACCATTCCTTAATTCTGTTTTAGTATTTCAGGCATACATTGTGGGGAGGGGGTGTTCAGAAAAACCTTTATGATTGAGATTGTAGGGGGAAGGCACTCCTCTCTAACACCAAAAATGTATTCTAGGACCAAGCCCTACTACAAAGTGTGCATCTGGAGGACATCAGGAATTAGTAAAAGACTACTAAAGTGTGTTGTTGTTTATTGTCAACATGTTGGTTTTGACTTATTGTGAATGTATTTTTGAGAGGTGGAGACATACCTGGATCAAAGAAAATGATAGCTTTTAGGCAGGCGTATTCATTATCATCAATTTGAATTTCTTGAAATGGATGTATTATTTCATCAAGAATTCGGTTTGCTACTCGACTGATCTCAATTTCAGAACTGTTGCGATGAATTATAAAATCGTTACCTTGAAAAGAAAAGAAAAGAAAAGAAAAGAAAAACAGTATTAACAACAATGCGTATAGTCTATGCTTTCCCAGTTACCAGTTTTCTTTGCCTATATTCCTTGATAAGTGTGTTCACAAAGTTGCTTCTCTATACATACCACTGATTCATTCCATGCATTAAATGTCATGGGACAAACACATTAAACCTTATAATTATAAATAATATTGCTTCAGTCCTTAAATATATGTGTAGTTGAGCATTTAATTTTACAAAAACAGTGAGAAGCAAGATAGGAAAGCACAAATTATTTCCTTCAATCACCCTTTTCTCATGTGATAGAAGTGGTGAGCTTTTGGCCCTCAAGATACAATGGGCTCTGAGTATCCACTGGGGTTTGGTTCCAAGATCCTTCATGGATATAAAAATCCATGAATGCTCAGGTCCAATTATATACAACAGCATTGTAGAAGTGCATGTCTTTTATAAAATCACAAAATCAAGATGTGGTTACAGATTCTAAAAAAAAAATTAAGCCATGGATGGTTGAATCCATGGGTTCAGAATCTATGGATATGGAAAACCTACTGCATTTTGGCCTTCAATTTCCACCAGCCCTATCCACAACAGCCAGTAGATTATAGAAGCAATAGTACAAAAACTCTGGAAAGCCAAAGGTCCCCCAACCCCGTCCTAAAGGACAGGAGAATGGAGGTGTTATCTTTGCCAGGCTAGTTTTCATTCTCCTCCTTTCTCTCTCTCTCTCTCCCTCCCTCCCGCTCTCTCTCTTCAAAAGCCCATTCCATTCTGTAGGATTCTTCTGTTCAGAACCGTCTGGGGGCTGAGTCTGTTGTCTCAAGGAAACAACAGGGGAGATCACTTGTGCCAAATCATATACTTAATTCTGGGTTCAACTCAATGTGTCTTTGGTTGAGGCCTTATGCTGGAAACACTTGCTTCTGAATAAATATGGCTAGGATAGTGCAGTTAAGAAGAAAAATAAGGGTATTTTTACCTAAAAGAATGATGTCTTTGTAAACCATTGAGCGTTTTGCTGCTCCAAGCAGCAGGTGTTCTCCAGCATGTGCTCTTAACAGGGCAACCTTGAAATAAATTGCATACAGAACAATGGTGACATCAGAAATAAAGCAAGTGAAATCAGACACATCATATGCACTAGCTATGGCTACTATACTAAAACACTCTTTGTTGGCAGTCTTCATATAGTCAGTACCTAAAGAACTAATAAATATCTGAGACATTTCCTTACCGTCCCTAGATATAATTTAAGTGCCTTGGCCCCCCTTTAGCCTTTCAACTTCCCTTTGATAAGTCAGTACAAAGAGGTCTCTGGCTTTTCCCTTCAGAGTTAAAACTAGACATTTTTTTGATTTGGAGCATACTGTTAGACAGCTAGCTTTTCTGTAAATACTTGCAGACAAGCAGGTGGGAGGAAGATCTCAGAAAGGAGGAATCAAAACTTATCTCTGCCCTCTCTAGCACCACTGAAATGCTCCTCAAATCCCACAACAGAAGATCCTAGGCCCAAATCTTCCATAAACTTGATTTGAGAGTTCCAGTTTTAGCTTGATACAACAGCACTTTGTTCTGCCCCAAATGAAAATGTTACCCATAGTGAATGCTTCCCCGTGTATTACATTATACCTGATCATCTAGCCGTAGGTCACAGAAGGCTGGAATATATTTTGCCCACTCCACAAGAACTAAGAGCTGTTGCTTCATAGATTCACAGATGTCACTAATGCCAGCAATTTTCTTAACATTTATGTCAGTAGGACCAGCACTGGGACTTGAAACAGAGATCTGATCATAATGAAGAGAAAATGGGGACAAAGTTTTGAATAAAAAATTTTGCATGTTGAGAAACCCTAAAGAGAAATGATGGGCATCTTCACAATCAATGTCTTATTCTACACAAAATTCACATGCAATTGTCTTATACAAGAAACATCATTTCTTCAGAATTCTTCAGTATTTCCAGCATGAAAAATAATATTTCACTGTAAAAATGTATTAATTCAAGCACAGAAAAAAGCTGTCTCCGACACAGAAAAAATGTTATAATTAGGATTTTTTTGATAATGATAATAATGTAAAAGAACCCCTTATTCCTTAGCAACTTTCACCCTCTTTGTTGTCTCCTCGCAACATACAAAACATTTGTAAAGCTGCAACTTTAATTAATCTATTATCCCCAATTTTTTTCCTTCACTTTCCCCCATCCTCTCCTTTTCTAGTAAATGTTTAATAAAAAATATTTGAAAAAAATCATACATGATCGATTTGTATAAAAAGCAGCATTTTCCCTCCTCTCCCCCCCCCCCGCAGCCACACCCATTTTCACTGTTACAACAAAAATATGATAGATCTTTATGTTTTCAACCACAGATATTCCATCAACTTCAAAATGACTGAGGAAACATTTTATCAGGTTCTTCGCAATATACATCTCACGAGGCTACTTCCTTACCACCTATCAAGTCGTTAATTATTTTGAATGTCAAACATGTGTAACAATAGTTCACAAAATGTTTGAAATTCATGCCTGCTCATCTACAGTAGATGTTCAATTATGAAAAGAATTACCATTTTCTTCAAATAATTCTGGTTTTGGGCATATCCAGACAACACCCACCTGCATTTTTACATAGGACGTCCAAATGACACCCCACAAAAAATCCAAATTTATTTGGGACAAAACAGGAGAACCCTGTTTTGTCCTGAAGTAATTTGATAGCTGGAAAGACTAAGGTCTTTCAGAAGACCTAGGTCTTTTGAGCTGTGAGCGTTGTGTGGCTTTGGCCTGGGGATCACATAGCATGACTTCCAGTGCCCTTCCACACAGCTGTCTCAGGTTTCTTGGGCTCCTGGAGCCCAAGAAATCCAAGACAGCTCCCATCCCCTCCAAAAACCCCTTTAAAATGTCTTTTAAAAAAGAAAATAACTTACCTGGTCACCATTCCCCCTTCTCTGGAGCTCTCCTGGCACATAGAAATGATGTACCAGGAGAAGAGGGAGGAGGAAAATCGCTCCTGGGCCCCCCTTCTCCTGGAACATCAATTCTACCAGCCAGGAGAGCTCCGGAGAAGGGGTAATGGCAGCTAGGTAAGTTATTTTCTTTTTAAAAGCTTTTCTTGGGGGTTTTGTTTTGTGTCCGGGTGCCTTTCCAGAAAGAGCATCTGGACACCCACCCCAGAAAAGCCTGAGCTGTCTGGGGTGTGTGGGGGATTCCATGCCAGCCCAATCAGATTTTTTAAACGTGATTGGACTTGTATTAAAGTGCTGTCTGGAACCACCCTAACTTAGAGTTGCCACCAGAAGGATGGTAAACATTAAAAGCCAGGATTAGCATACCTGGCGAGAAAGCACTTCAGCCTGGGCCAGTGTGTTAATAGAAGGACTGTTGCTGCCTTCAGAAGTGCTTCTCCTTGTACTTATTCTGTCTCGTTCATTTTGAACAGCTGGGGACAAAAAAAAAGATAAAGTATATTAATTTTCAAAAAGACCTTGTTGAACTGCTTTGCAAAATATTATTCAGGAATCATATGAACCATAGACTTTGTTGTACAAATCTGACAAAGTTATTTCAGAAAGCACACTTTTTTGTTATATGTTTTATTGGTATTATAATGAACACTCTTAAAACAATATATATATAATTGCTATTCTGAATTCAGATTGCTTCTTATTCTTTTTTAGAGAAAGTCCCCATGAGCATCCATGGATTTTGTTCCTCATACTTCCAGCATGCACAGAGGAGCATTTAGGGCAAACATTCTTGTAAAAAATGTAGTTCAACATTCCCTGGATAGTACTGCAGCCCCTTGTCAGAGGGTTGCCCATCCTTGTTGTCCCTATGTCCCTTCCCAAGTAGTTCCAGGATTATTTGGCTCAGTACAAATATGTTTGCATTGAAATTGTGTATATGTTGAGACACTAAAATGCCAGAAATGAAGGGCGATAATGGGTCAGGAGCCTGGGGTGTTGGTGTATATGTATGTTTGTGCCATTCTAGATCCATTTACTGATGTCTATTTCTAAAACCAGCTTTCTTAGAAGAAGTTCTAGCCTTCTAGCTTTCTAAACTTGGCTCAGTTGTTGGTCCTGGAATCTCAAGGCAAGAGATGTTGCATACCTGGCAACTTTATGTGGTATCTGGGTATCCATGCTGCCATCTGGTTTTAGTGTTGTGATGTGACAAGCTAATTTGTGATGTGCATGATAATTCCATTTATCACCGAACACTATTTATAAATCATTAAACTTGCTTAATCAGACATAATAATGGTCATGGACAAAATTGCCAAAGTTCTAAGGGGACTGCAGCCTTCATATTATTATATAAGGAAGGGGATTCACTAGCTACCTGGAATAGCCAGCTTTGAAAAGATTATAAAGTGATCTGCTTATATCCTTTGCAGAGCTTTGGATGTAAGACAAAATGCTCACATACTACTCTGTCCAATCATTTTGAGGATAATAAGCTTGATATTACTTTTCAGTGCCAAACAAGTGTCACTCTGACTGAACAATCTGTAAAAAGTGTTAGCTATAGAGGTATTTGAAAAACGAAAACTGTCTTCATAAGAAAGTTCAAAAGAAAAGTTTATTTTGAATCCATTTTTGGACATACCCTACCAATAAAAAGCAATGGAGAAATCTCGATTTTTAGTATCGCTATGATTGGACAGGGTAAAATCCATCTCCAAAGAAAGGTAACATTCAATCAAAGCCCATCATTATACCCATATTGTGTGTGCTGCTCAGCATGAATTTTGTCAATGCTCCAAAGCAACCCATTGCTGAGAGCATTGCATGACTTCCTTGCAGTATATCCAAATGTTGCTATTTTGTTACTTAAAGAATTATCATTTTAATAGCTATAAAGCCACAAGCTGCACAATGAGGATGGGCAGATCTTAAGTCTTTTTAGATCAAATTTGAGCTTATTGGAAATACTTAAACCAACAATCACTGCAGTACACTATAATGATGATGATGCATTTCAAAGCCCAGGAGTTTTTGTGTTCCAGAAATGATCATTGCTCACAATGCCTCTGATACATATTAAAATTAAAAATCCCTACTTTCAGTAGTACATATCCTTCCCTACAATTTCTACTACACATACAGACTAAAATCCTATTTATTAGTCCCAACCAAAGTTAAACCAGTTAGTTAATTTCTGAATTATGACCCAACATATGGGGAAATCCTATTTATTCAATGGGTCTACTCTAGCAATGGTAATTTTCAGGTCAGTAACTCCAGCCTTACAATCCCAAAATACATTGGAAGTACACATGTAATTTCTGTGCTGCAATTGAAATAGTCTTACCATATGTACAATATAATATTGGTTATCTAATAATATCAGGGATCCAAACAAACATCTGTTTGCAGACTTTATTGATTTTACATTGGCTTTCATGCTAATAAACCAGGAGTGGTCGCAGCAAAGATAGCCACAGGCAGTATTGATAGAATATTTTGTTATATACACTTATGAAAACAAAGAAATGCCACAAGTATGATTTAGGATTATTATGGCTCCATGGAAATGAGGATAGGGCTCATACACTTCTAAGAGCTGTGTAAGAGAGGGGATTTCAGATGATATAGGAAAAGAGAGGGGATTTCAGATGATATAGGAAAGGGAAAGATTTTGCAATTCCTTCTTGTGCACTACTATAAAAGGTACAAGAGTCCTATTTTCTATTGCATTCAGTTGGGGATTAGTATAGAGGCCCATCTACACTGCCATATAATCAAGTTTCAGAATACAGATTAACTGTAATGAAATGGATTATATGGCAGTGTAGACTCTTATAATTCAGTTCAATGCTGTTCAGCCTGCATTCTATGTGTCTACACTGGGCATTATAATGAAATCTAAACTGGATTATATAGCAGCATAAACAAGACCAGAATTAATGTTCAGTTCTGAATATGACTGGATATTTTTCAGTCCATGCCAAGCTTTAAGGATTAGCAATGTGAGAAGTTCTGTGAAAATTGAACAATGAATTCTGAGGGAAGTTCGGAAGAGTTGGTTCAGTTAACTGCAATCCCCAAACTAACTTTTTCCAAGCTCTGCTGCTGACCAGATAGCCCGAGAAAGAAATGCTCCTGAGAGCTTTTGGAAAGAGAATGGGATTGTGGATATACAAGGCTGGTGAAGCAATAAGGTGTCCCTTTTAATACAAAAATGAAAGAGATAAATGCAGCTACCTATCAGTTTTCCTGGGCTTATTTTATATCCAAGGTCACATCAAGGATAGAAAAGCACAGTTCTGATCAGCATAGTCCTCAGTCTACATAGCACCTCATAACCTTTTATAAGAGCAGCAGTTGTATTTCCAATGATATGTTTGTTATTTTTAGGGATGCAATCTGCATCCGAGAAGTGGTGCGCCAGCACCAATGCGTCAATAAAAATGTGTTCTGTGTGCTATAGAGTATTCTGCAGTTTATATAAAGAATGAACACACTTTATGGTGAAAGCACACTACATTCTTAGCCAAGGACATTCACTGATGGGCCTTTTATTAAGGTCATAATAAGAAATGTCGTAGAGTGATAAACACTAAGTGATAAATGGCCATGCAGACGTGAATCAAGAATGATGCTTGGTTCTTTTTAACTGGAAAAGTGCTATCTTCTTTCATTCCTTAACTCAGCAACTAAGCAACAAGCTGTGGTTAAATCTTTAAATATAAAATTGTGCCAGTGAGATAGCCACCAAACTTCTTTGATTATCAAGCATGTGGTTGGCTTGCATTTAAAGGTATTTAAAGCAACAGAAGGCAAGGTCTTAGAGATAATATTTTATTTGGTATCCTTTCAGTGTTTGTTTTTCCATTTCACCATTTTCTTAATAAATACACATATGTATATGATGAGCCCAGATCTTTAAAAATATTATTCTTTTGAACTGCAACTCCCATAATAAACAAGGACCTTTACTTCAAAAAAAAGTAACTTTTTAAACATTCTGGATAATGCTAAAGTGAAGATTTAGAGTCAAATCTGAATTCAATAGAAAACTTATAAAGCATATAGAAGACAAGAATGAAGTTGCTGCCATCTAGCTATTCAAGGGCAGGCAATTTTGTTAATTAACAACCATTTAGTTACAACAGAGAATGGTGGTGGTTTCCATATCAGTGGGCTGGAAAATCTGTTTTGAGTTTTTATCTAAACTTTAAAGGAGCTATCCAATGCATCAGATTTTTTTCCCTAAAACAGGATAGTTCCTTTAAAGTTCTGAGTAAGGCTGGATCTACACTGCTATGCAATCCAGTTTCAGAATGTAGATTAACTGCTTTGAGCTGGATTATATGAGTCTACACTGCCATATAATACAGTTCAGTTTTGTTAATCTGCATTCAGAAATTGGATTATATGGCAGTGTAGATGGGGCCTAAATCTCAAGGAAGAATAACCACCACAACTCCTAGAGGCCTATTAATCTCTACTACCAAACTCCATGTTCCCTGGAAGTTTCAAAAAGAGCTTTCATTTGGAATATGTTAGAAAATGTTTGGGATGGGGTTTGGATTGAAGAAAAAGAGAAATATCCAGAAAGTATGTGCAAGACTTTTTGCAAAAGTAAAAAAATAAGGAAATAATTATAACAGCATTATTTTAACAGACCAAAGATTGTGTTGACACTGTTCATTCTTTGAATGTTTCAAATGGCAAGAGACAAAAAAAATGTCAATCCACAGCACTGTTATTCTTCCTGTTTTACTACCATTTTTTGGCAATGCTGCCCCATTTTGATTTTAAAATCCACTATTATGCAAACATTTGTAAGCAGAATCCAGGAGAGCTTCCAACTATTTTTTTTTAATTTACCTCAAACATTATACTAGACATTAAATGTTATCCCTCTATACAAAGATAAGTTAACATCAAAAGACACATTTGCCCTAGGTTTTTGAATTAAAAATAGCCTCAGGGCCCTTCCAAACAGTCATAGGGTGGATCTAGACAACCCCTTTATTGTGGAAACTTCTGCAATAAAAAGGGGGCTTCAAGACAATGTTGTGGACAAACCCGAAGTAATTCACAACAAACCAGGAAAACCCAGGTTTGTGAATTAATTTGATAGTGGGTTTCTTCCGCGCCTTCTTGAAAGGCACGGGATAAACCCACTACTTCCAGTGTCTGGACTATAGAATACTGCAGTCCAGACAGTATTCCTACAGTTTTCTGGGCTAAATCAGCCCGGAAAACTGTGGGAATACCAACCCCCTTCCCAAAGCCTTTAAAAAACCCTTTAAAAAGGAAAAGAACTTACCCGGCCAACATTAAAGAGCTGCTGCAGCTCTCCTGACACATAGAAATTATGCATCAGGGGAAAGAATGGGAGGAGGAGGAAAATCTGTCCCCCCCTCTCCTGGTGCGACATTTCTACATGCTAGAAAAACTGCGGCGGCTCTCCAATGGAAGCTGGGTAAGTGCTTTACTTTTTAAAAGAGGTTTTTAAGAGCTTTTGGTGAGGGGGGTAGAGTGTCCTGGTGTTCTCCCAGGCCAGTCCCAGAAGGACATCTGCTCACCCACCCCAGAAAGCGCATGTGTGTGGACAGGGCCCCAGGAACATTTGCGTTTTTTAAACGTGAAAGCTCCTGGGATAAAGCCCTGTCTGGAAAGCCCCCCAGAATATCAAGGCAGGAAATCCCACAATATCTGCTTTGAACTGGAATACATGGCATTGTGGGCTGAGATAACCCAGCTCAAAGCAGATGTTGTGGGGTTTCCTGCCTTGATATTCTGGGTTATATGTGGAAGGGACCTATGTGGTTACAACTGAGAGTGAACAGTGATGTTATAGAAACCATTCAGTCTTTGCAAAAAAAAATTCCTTTAAAACTGATTACTCGATATACTCAATAGTTTACTTTTTTCTTGTACACAATAATGAAAAAATTGGGGTCTTTTCTGCCCTCCTATGATACCTTTTGTGTAAAATTTTAATCATTTTTTAATTTTTTTAAAAAGTTTTTAGATGAAATTTTTGATTAAAATTTTGAAAATCACTTTGGAAAACTTTCTTCAGTTCTCAAAATCCTGTTGAATTTTTTTAAAAAAAATGTTTGTAAACAGATGAACAACAAGGGCAAGAATCATTCTAATCTCCCCTGCCTATGACTGGATCTACACTGCCCAATAATACAGTTTCAGAATGTGAATTAGCTGCATTGAACTCAAGTATATTAGTCTACAGTCCTCTATAATCCAGTTCACTGCAGTTAATATGCATTCTGAAACTAGATTATAAGGCAATGTAGATCCAGACTATGATGCATCCCCACTAACCATACACATACAAGACCTTGAGGCTGAAAAGGGAAGATCTCCTGAGGATCTTAGAATCCACGCAAGCTGTTATGGGAAGATGTGGTTTGTCAGCCTAAACTTTAAGCCAGATAGGGCTTTATTATATATCATAACCAGTATGATTTCCCCCGGTGGTTCAAAGGGCTAAACCCTTGTGCTGACAGGACTGAAGACCAACAGGTCATAGTTTTGAATCCGGGAAAAGCACAAATGAGCTCCCTCTGTCAGCTCCAGCTACCCATGCAGGGACATGAGAGAAGCCTCCCACAAGGATGGTAAAACATCAAGCACATCCAGGTGTCCCCTGGGCAACATACTTGCAGACGGCCAATTCTCTCACACTACAAGCAACTTGCAGTTTCTCAAGTTGCTCCTGACACGGGGGGAACAAACAGTATGTTGACTTGTTTCAAGAAAGAGACCGGCAGCCAGTGCAACCATTGGAGCAAGGGCATTCTATATATGACTAGCATAAGAATGCATGTTTTGTTTTGTTGTATAATGACCCATTAGCAAAAAAAATTACTTAGTAAACTAACTTCTTATTGGAGGCATATTTCTGTTTCTGTTTAGGAAAAAAAAAGCTCTTTCTAAAGAGGCACCGCAGGTTCATTCCTTATTTATTTATAGATTTTTATTTCCTTCTAATTGATATAAAGTGAGATTTTTTTCTGAAAAGGAGGTTAGGAAAAAGTTACCTTCTTTCTTCATCCCAGCACGGAAACACTTTTTTAAACGACAGTATCTGCATTGATTTCTCTTGTCCTTATCAACAATACACTGCCGGCTAAATCTGTTGGACAGAATCGAGGATAAATATATTAGAGTGCAACTCCAGGAGGATCCTGATTAGCACAGGTGAAACAATTAATGGGCACTGTCAAAACAATGTCTCCAACTATCAACCTCCCCTGCTCCTTTTGCTTTAATCAGCCTTGAAACATTTCTCTCTGCCATTCTTCTAAAGGGAATGTTTCCTTGTGATGATCAAGTAAAGTCCCATTAGGTTATTCATCATCTTGTGAAAGCAAAGCACAGACATTTTCTTCTCCCTGTAGCAGATCTTTAAGGTGACTTTTTATGGCTTCATCTCCTGCTGGTGTATAGATGATGAAGACTATGAAACAAAAGGAAAAAAGTCTAACTGAATCGGGACAAAGGTTTAGCACAGCATTTTCAAATATGGTGCTACCCGGTGTATTGAACTACATGCCACTTTGTCCGCAACCAGCATAGCCAATTGTGACCCTGCCACTGAGAAGCATTCAGACAAGACATGAAGGTAGCACTCTCCCCTGCTGTTTGCCACTTCAGTCTAGAATTCAAAGATACATTGTCTTTGTTTGGGGAGGTTTTATCCACAAACAGATTGACAGCAATTGATACGCATATAGATAAGCATGAATAGATATATATTTTTATGTTATTTTAAATTTTTAAATTGCCTTGAACAGGCTGGATTACTTTTAATATACGTATATTATGGCGACAATTTTTATGCTTATATTTTGTTTTGTTAATCTTATGGTTATGTTGTTCTTTACTTTGTATTTTTTGTGATGTTACCTGGGAACTGCTCTGAGTCCCCTCGGGGAGATGAAGCGGTATATAAATAAGGTATTATTATTATTATTATTATTATTATTATTATTATTATTATATATTGATGATGATGATAGACAGAAAGACAGATAGATAGATGATAGAGATAATGATGGAGATGAGAACCAATGTGATATAGTGGTTTGAACATTGGACTAGGACTACACCACAGTCATGGAAACACACAGGATAACCTAGGAGAAGTCAGTGTCAGAGGAAGGCATGGCAATTCCCCTTTGAACAGTTATTGTCAAGAAAATCCCATGAGGGCTTCACCTAGAGATGAAATTACTCAAAAATATGCACCAATGACATGTGTGTGCGACTATCTCTAGCACAACTTTATTTTGTTCATTAGTTTCTGAACAATGTAGGAACCGTGACATGCTAGCAGTGAGTCTTCCAAGGCCTCCACTCTACAATACTCACCCCATCATAATTTAAATTAAAGATCTTAGAACTATTAATTAAAGTTTGGGAGTAAATTCACATTTACATTATACTACTTAAGTCATTGTGGCTTCTGATCAGCCCCACAGTAGCTAATCACCACATGGGGTTGATCCAGCTTAACCCACAACAAAGCTGCTTAATGCAAAATTTGGTTTGACCCCCAAGTGAGTGGGTGACAAGACACCAAACCAGAACTGGCAGCAGGTGTGCTCCCCAGGCTCAAAGTGGCTTAGGGAGTCCTTATCAGGCTATCAAATAGGCTTGATCCAGCATCTGGGACATGCAGGGTTATGATAGATGCACCCTGCTTAACTTTGCTAGATAGATGTGTCCTACCTAACACCATCCTATGGGAGTCATTCACTCTTGTTAGGATGGTGAAAAAGTAAACACATACAAAAAGGCGGCAATCCACCAAACCATGTTATCACGTGGATATTCTAAGGTCTTTTCCAAACTGTTTTAAGTTAATGTTTTAATATAATTGTTCTATTTCATTTTGTAGTCTCCATTAACTGATTTTTTTGTCTTACTCAAATTGTGAGATATCTTATATCCAATGCTGGGAGAAAAGTAAGGTATACATTGAATAAATACATAATCTAGAAAAGTAATATTTCCAAGCTCTGTCGTTTTGAGGACGGCAGAATGATAGTATGAGCTGCTGTAGTTAAAATAGTCTCATTCAATCAAACAGCTACACTGCTTTAGATATCATCTGCAATGGTTGAAATCCAGTTTCCAGTGTGGCATGCTAACCTTTCTCCAACTTCAATATTAACATATATAGATATAGATAAATTTGGGCCAGAAAGTCTCAAGATAACAGAAAAAATATCTTGAAAGAGAGACCTGAGTCAAGTGATAGTAATAGCAGGAGAGAGAGTACCTTTTAACCTCAGCAGCAGTCTTAGGCAACCTTCTTGAGAAATGAGAAGCAGATAAAAGAAAATGCCAGAGGGCACCTTGTAGCACAGATCTAGTAGTACTTGAGGAATATATATATATATATATATATATATATATATATATATATTCCTGTAGCAGAGACATGGAAAGTAAAAATAAAACAAGGGACAGCAAGGCAATGAAGAGGCAGAGAACAAATGTTTCTTCCAGAGAAGTCTCAGATGAACAAAATCTACATTTATTGTCATTTGCAAATGAAATAGTTTGGTCCAGGGCTGCAAACACCTGCCACAAAAAACTGTTGGACTGGCAAAAGAAAAAGATGTCTCATACTGCAAGGAATCTTTTTCCGTAGCTAACAGACAAGTATTCCAAAGATGAGGAGAACTGAAATCTGAATTTACGACCTCAGGTCCTTGCCATTGCATTGGCTCCCCATCAGCACTTGTGGTAGGTCACTAAACATGCAGAGAACTTAAGGGCAAGGGAAAATGGATCTTACCTAATGAAGAATCAGATCAAGGATTTGCCCTGCAGCTCCTGAACACCTCTACTTTCCTTGACCTGTAACTAGGATGGAGACCATGTAGCCCACCAAATGTTGGACTCTAATTTCCATATGGCATAGCTACTGATGAAGAATGTTATGAATCGCAGTCCAACAGCATATGGAAGATTGCAGGATTCCATTCCTGCCATACCAATTGTGGCAGGGATGAAAAACTTCTAGAAGGTCATACATCCCTTCCCTTAGCTTTCTAAGGATTTTTCATATTTCATGGTTTATATTTAAACTACTCTCTGCATATACTTTTTTACTTTTCTACAAAAAAACCCACCCTTTTTGTGCAAATATATTAGTATTTTCAAAAACCTGGATTTTATTAAAAATTTCAGTTTTTTTACAAAACATTTTTGCAGAAAAGCAAAAGTTTCCTGCAAAAAAAAAATCACAGTTGAATTGTAAAAAAGGAAATGGCAAAAAACTTGTGATCTAAACCAGAATGAAAATATTAGTTGCATACACAAGGGAGGCAACCCTCATCTAAACACAATTTAAAAAATCACACAAAGGTTGGGATAATCAAGGCTACAACTTGTTTATTAGTTACAGCTGAAATAGGGTTGGCAGGCATACATGTGTCCTGGATCCACCGCATTGGACAGCCCAACTGCTGATCCGACGTGACAGAGGGGTGAGCCTCAGGCTGAAATCTGGACAGCTCACCCTACTGAACGTGGAACAAGGTGAGAGGGGGCATGGTGCAGACACCCCTCTGGTGCAGCTCTGAGTTTACTGCACAGCCATGAACCCAATACTCCAAATAATGAGCTTTCCAGAGGAGCTTGAAGGCAACTGAGCCAGAGAAGCAGCCGACCTCCTTAAATACTCTGCAGGCAGATCTGAGGTAAGTGGTATTCCCTCAGGTCTGTCCACTCTGCCCAATTGGCTATCCACAAAGCATGCTCAGGGGAGCAAGAAAAGATGTAAAGCGCCATGGAAAAGGGGGGGCTGAGATCACCAACTTAGCCTCACATCACAACTGCCTCACATGTTAAGTCAGAGTTTTCTTTTATTTAAATTTATGTTTTAAATTGTTTTAATGTCAATAGCTTCTTTATATTCTAATAATATCTTTTTGTATGTCTTAACCATAATTTGTACGTCATATTGAGAAGGAAAATGGGACATTAATCATCACCTTCACCTTGTATTTGAGGACATGATAAGTGAACTTTAGAGCTTTACGTTTGAGCTATAATTGCTTCAATTCTCTGCATTCAAGGGCTGGATGGATATCCATTTTGACATATTTCTGATTTTTAGTTTGCCCTGAATTTAAAGTTTTGGGGTGTGTATTTTGTAAATTTACGTGAACGTCTGTATGTTCATGTCATCTAACATGTAAATGTTTGTATATTATACTTCTGTGTTAATTTTTAATTGGAGAATTCCATTGAAAATTTTAAAGACAATCAAATTTCAAAGACAACTCCATTTTTGATACAGTTGTCATCTAAAAATGAAAAATTTTTATCAAACAAATTTCCTCTCTGACTCTTCTCTGGAACCCTTGTCAGGATAGAAATTGGGAGGGGGAGGGATAGAGATACTAAAAAGACACAGGATAGAGATATTGGGGGAAAATACATATGACATCCTTTAAATTTGATGTTTCTTATACCTGCAGGTGTAAACATGATTCTTTCGTATGCTGCGTCGGAAGAACCCTTTACATCCATCACAACTGGAGGCACCATAATGCTTGCCAGTGGCTCTGTCTCCACATATTGCACAAAGACCAATGGCTCCATTGTCTGCAGTATTCATATTGGGTTGCTCTGCTGAGCAACTATCTGAGAAGGGATAAGAACAAGGTACATAATTAGGAATAAAGCTTGGGGGGAATTCAAGCCTGCAACTAAATTATCCCATCCTGGAGATTGTACTTGCCTTCTCTTTTAATTAGCATTTCCCATTTAAAGATGGCAGAAAACACAGCATGCCTAATTACCTCCAATAAACCTATCATGCCTACTTGTCAGAATTTATGATGCTCATAACAATAAATGCCTTTTTTGTTTTGCAAACCCCCAAGACTGATAATAGAAGTAATAACACTAATACAATTGCCCAGCTCCACATATGTCTCTAACTGCTTAAATATCCTAGTTAGTTTAAATAATTGGGAGATGCTGCTGTAAGGCTACATTCTTTCAGATGCTTGCTAAATCACTGTACATAAATTTTCAAGTAAATCAACTGTGACTGGAGATTCTAGGTAAGGAGGCAATAGGGCCTTGCATCCATATATCTTCAGGTGGAGAAACAAGCATGTGTCTTCTTGTTTCAAAGGCAGGGCAAGCTTAGATTGCACTAGTCATCACTAGTTTGAAATAGCATCTGGATTCCAAAGGAAAATGGCAGGCACACGATAAACTAGGGAAAGCACAAGTCATAATGTGACTAAAGTAAAACCGCTGAAACAATTGAATTCATCTATGTATTGACTCTCTGTTCTAGATTTGATTCAATGGGTCTGCTTTACCAGGTAAAGGAATATGCTTTATATTGTAATTGTATATTGTATATGCTTAAATATTGTAAACAAAAATAATAATTTTGTGTTTGGTATCTAAATAATTGCAAATGATTCACTTTTTGTTTTTTCCACACAGTTCTTCTGGGGGAGGGTGTTTATTTTGTGATTTGTTGTTGCAAATATATTCAGTTTGTCCAGGCACAAGGACCTTGAAGTGTATGATTTTTTGCACTAGTTAAGTAAGTTACAATGTCTCAGATTGTGAGGGGTCTCAATACAAACCAAACTTCTCAAATAAACAAGATTATTATTTTCCATTTTTATACAATTGGTTATAAATAAAGGCAACATTAAAAACAGATTCTTTGAGCACATCTACACTGACCTTTGAATCAGTCCCGAGAGGTATCCACACAGGTGCAATAATGAGGTAAACCATAGGAGAAGGGTTCAAGAGGGGACAATCATCCCACATCCCTAGGCCAGTGAAGATGGGGCTTTGCCATAATTTTAAGATTAACTTGTTCATTTCAGAAAAGGGTGTACATAAAATCGGTCACTGATGGTAAAGATACCACAAGACTACAACTGGCCTTCTGTATCTTTCAGATTCTGCATTCATAGATTCCACCATCCATGACTTGAAATTTTGTTTTCAAAATCCAAAAAGCAAACCTTGATTTTATATTAAGGATGCCATTTTACTCTACCATTGTGCTTAATAAGACCTGAGAATCCATGGATACCAAAGACCTATTGTACTTTTTTCTTCCTTTTTTATGCAAACATAGAGGGCAGAGGAAAGAATACTATTTATGAAAGCAGTGGCAGAAATCACGTGGCCCTCCAGTTACTGTTGAAGTGCATTTCCCATCACCCTACCTAGTATATGCCAATAGAAGTTGCAGTTGACAACATAAACATATCTTGGTGATTCCCACCCTAGCATAAAACTGAGAGTTGCAGCAATACAGTGGAGTATGCTGGAGATGTGGCAATAGCCCATGCTGGGCATTCTTTTTGAGCTTTCTAGATGGTCCCTTTCACAAGAGGATACATCTGAGTACTAATTATGTATTTATTTAGATTTAATTATTGAATGTATACCTCTACTTTTCTCGTGAGGTGGGATCCAAGGAAGTTTTTAGTAATTTAAAACAAAGGTAAAATCTTATTTTACAACAGCTAAAAAAACTAAATACAGTGTTAGTGGGTTTTTTAATATATATATTAAAATAATTTTTAAAAACATTTAAAATTTAATTATGAACAAAAGATAATACAGCACAGCACTTCATGCACACTATTCCCATATCATTTACATTTCAAAATATGCCCGAGCAAAAAGTATTCACCTGCCAATGGAAAAAAAGCAGGGAGGGGGGCAAACAGGCCCTTCCATAGAAAGGAGTTCCACAGTGTCCTCAACTAACTTGCCCGCATGGCAAAACCAACAGAACCTCTAACAAGATATTTTTCTATGTGGTGAATTATACCTTGTTTGTGTCCCCTGAGCTTGTTTGATGCCCTATGGCATGATACAGTATATACATGTATATGAGAAAAGTTTAATGTAGTTTGCTCACATCAGCCTTCATAGGAACAAAAATGCTTTACACAGACAATTCCCACCTGACTAAAGTTAAAAAGCTACTCTAATCAAATAGTAAGATGTTTTCTCTGCTAAACATTAGCTTGTAAAGCCCTCTTGTGATTAACATCTCAGTTCGTCTATCAATTCATATAGGGCAATATTACCACATATTAAACATATCAACTGGAAAAAAAACACTTCAAGGTTCTTTTCTACATCGTTAATTATTTTACCCTCAGCATATTTATATCTTAACTGTCATTTTAAATATCATCCACAAAAATATTCTCCATTTCCACACTGTCAATGGTAGTTACTCATTCATCCCAGAGTAAATAAAATAAATGTAAAAAGAATATTTTTCTTCTTTTGATGAATTGACCATTGACACGACTGTAATGTTATATATTACTTGGAACTGGCAGATTATTTTCTGCACAATATATTTTATTACACATATCTTTCCCAAAACTGCATGTTATAGAGGTGTTATCCAAGGATATCACATTAATTAGTAATACATCAATTAGATCAGACCATCCAGAATTGTTTTTATGCAATTTCTAATAGTTCATTATAAATTCTAGTGTTATGCTTTCTGATTCTTTTACTGAATAAATTTCAACATATCCATTGTTCACGTGGCCATACCTTCCTATAATAACACATTTTATACATTAGTATTCTATACCATCATATTGTCCCTGATAATCCAAAGAAAGCCGTTCTTGTTTCCTTCAGACTGTAGCCACCAAAAACCAAGTCAAGCTTTCACACATTCACTATGATCTGGCATGTTTAAATGGGATTTAGCTATTCTACCCGCCAGACAGCATAAGATCTACAGTAATCTGATATCCAATAATCTTTTCTATGTTCAATCGGTTATAATTTTATTAACACACATTTAGCAATGATGTGCAAAGAAAAAGAGTGAAAACTAGAGATGCTATTTTCAAAACAAAACTGTATTATTAACAATGAAACATTTGGCTAACTATTAAGAAGTGTCATAATTTTTTTTGTCCACTTACAAACTGTCTCTTGTGTCTGAAACGATTCAAACTCACCATTGCCATTATACAAGACCTGCATTGTTTCAAATCCCAGGCTGGTATAACTTGGATCTAAGACTTCTTCAGTATAATTTGGTATATCCATGTCCAAAACTGGCTCTGGGATCCTCATCATTGAGTGTGAATCAAGAAAATGACGGCTTCTCCAATGGAGAATATGCAAACACTCTGTTTTCCTGTCAATTGGTGATTAATAACCCAAGTGTTAACTGTAACTGTGTCATGTAGTGTTGCAATGGGAGGAGTTATGAAACCAATTCAGCTGGCTGTACTCAACCTGCAATTATTCCTCCTTTTTATGGGGTATAATCAGATAGATTATCTTGCAATGTTTCATTGAAGATTTTAAATGTGAATTTCTGATTTACTGTTTTTAATTGCAAACTGTCTCCAACTTTTTTAAAAAAACTTATTTCCTTTTTATAAAAAAAAGCCCTAACAACACATTTGTTTTATTGACAATAGTTTAGAAGCTAACCAAATCCAATCCAAATCAAATGAAACTTCATGTAAATGTTATGAGTAAGAAGATATTCCTCAAATTTTAAAACCTGGCATATTGCTATTCTTGCATAGCCATGGCTTTGCACAGTAGAAAGTATTGTCAGAGATAAGATACAGGGAATTGTCCTATAGTGAACCAGACCTATTTAACTCATTATTGCCTACTAGGTATTTCCATAAATGTGAACTAATTATTTCCACAAATTTCCCCATGCAGTTTTAATATTTCCATGCAGTTTTAATCTGGTATCCACACACTCTGATATATTTTAGGAAATTATTCTACTCAAAAATACATTCTGTGGAGATTACATGAGAATTGTGGAAGTTGCCATAGGTGGTTTTTGTGCAYTATTGCAGTTTTCTATGCAACATAAAATGATTCTGCACACAAACACAAACAATAAAAATGAAGTCAGTTTTTATGTGCAACATTTCCTCCCCCCCCCCCCCACCCTAGCTATGTAGAAATTGTGTTGTTACACACAAGGCAAAATATAAATTCAAAAAGTAAAGAAATCATGTGTATTTCTGCACAGAAAAAATTCTTGAAACACTTTGGGATGTAAGAATGCAGGCTGAAAACTAAATGATATTATTATTCCACCTGATTGAGGCATATTCACATAGCTCAACCCCAAAGAAGTTCATGCAGAATGTCTCCATGCCACTGTGGCAGTGAGAGGGAGTCCACGCCGTACAGCAAGGTTGAACTGAATTTGATGGCCACCTTTACTGTCATTATTTTGACCAAGAGCTTCAAATTGCTCCTGGTAATTGCTCAGGGGCCGGGCTTAGCACAGCAGGCAAAACCGCTGTGCTGCAGAAAAATCCTGCTGAGTGGTAGGTCAGCAGTTTGATCCCAGGAGGGATGAGCACCTGCTGTTAGTCCCAGCTCATCTGTCCACCTAGCAGGTCAAAAGCAGAAATACAAGTAGATAAAATAGGTACCGCTATTTAGCAGGGAGATAATAAAGATGCCTTTAAAAGGAGATCAGATTTGAGGAAGAAGCTCCTAGGCATGAAAGATGGAGCGACAGCACCCCTCCCCCCATGGCCAGAGTCAAGAACAGTGTCCAAGATGGCAGAAATAAAATGGGAAAAACTGCCTTTACCTCTGTTTGTGTGTGTCTGTCCTTG